TTGGCCTTCTTGGCCACCTGGGCACACTGCTGGCTCATATTCAGCCGGCTGTCAACCAGTACCCCCAGGTCCTTTTCCACCAGGCAGCTATCCAGCCACTCTTCCCCAAGCCTGTAGCGCTGCATGGGGTTGTTGTGACCAAAGTGCAGGACCCGGCACTTGGCCTTGTTGAACCTCATGCAGTTGGCCTCGGCCCATCGATCCAGCCTGTCCAGGTCTTTCTGCAGAGCCCTCCTCCCCTCAAGCAGATCAACACTACCACCCAGTTTGGTGTCGTCTGCAAATTTGCTGAAGGCACACTCAATCCCCTCATCCAGGTCATTGATAAAGATATTAAACAAGACTGGCCCCAGAACTGAGCCCTGGGGGACATTGCTTGTGACCGGCCGCCAACTGGACTTAGTTCCATTCACCACCACTCTCTGGGCTCGGCCACCCAGCCAGTTTTTAACCCAGCAAAGAGTATATCCATCTAGGCCACGAGCCGCCAGCTTCTCCAGGAGAATGCTATGGGAGACTGTGTCGAAGGCTTTGCTGAAGTCCAGCTCATTTGTTTCAGCTCTGCTGAAGACAGCTCATTTGTTTGCCTTGTCACAACTATGATGAATTTGCAATGAAACAACTAAGTTTTTTTCTGTTAATCTCCTTGTCTGATTTCTTGTAAGCAAGAAAATACAGAAACTAAAACTGTCTTGTAAAATAGAAGCTTATTACATACTTGTGACCAAGTGTATATGAATGTTATGTTTACAACTGCACTGTTTATAGTGTATCACTCAAAACTATAGTTCATAAAATATATTTTCAGTCCCATTAATATAAAAGGCACCACTGTCCATTAGATAGCTAACATGACTGGTGTGCTATTCTTTACATAGAGACATTTTTAAAAGTGTATTTTTATACAATAAATAAGAATTTCTTCTGATTCAATATATTCCTCTTTAATTTTCAGATCAATTACCCAAACATCTACTCTGACTCTTAAATTAACCCTCCTACAGTACACAAAATTAAATCACTTGCCAATTTTGAAAAAAAAAAAGGTATTGATGAATTTGTCATAACTTTTAGAAAATATACCTACATCCTCAGAGACCTTTCTCCTCCACTTACCACCACCAATTATCTTCCAATCTGATTTAGCTGTTTATTCTGCCAATTTTATGTTTTAAAAGCAACCACCTGATTCTTACAGCTTACAATAACAAACACAACTGAATGATAGCCCTTCATATCTATTTGACTCTTCCCTGTTCCTTCTTCAAAAATCTAGGACAAAAATTCACTACTGCTAATAAAACAGCATGCCTCTGACAGAGTACCATAATCACAGTTCCTTTACACTATTATAAATTTTCAACCCTTGAAAACTGTAAGAGCTTAATATTTAGAAAATTTTTGCAATGCTTGTCACGGGGAAAAGGTTGCTTTCCTTTATGAATACAGAAGGCAAGGAGAGATATATTTAACATGGTAACCCCTGACATGAAAGAAAAATAGGGTGAACCTCCAGATTCTATACTCATTTAAACCCGCAACTTCTCTGCTAAGAAAATTAGCAAGCATGACAGTTATTTTTCCTTTAGAAATTACACCAGCACTATGCTTTTTAACATAAACTAACCTCAGAATTCTACATTTTCATCAGGTTACTTTCCTAAAAACCAGGTAAGATTTGAAGCACTAAGCACGTTCTGCGTACATGAAAAACACCTGTTCCTGTAAGACATGATTTTGAACAAGATACTCATCTTTGGTAGACGGCTTATCGAGAATAATTAGGTCATAAGAAAGATTTTTTTTTTTAATTTATTCCAGAAAATACTTCCTCATAATAAGATTATATTGCTATTATTAGTAACATGAATAAATAGAAAATTATTATCCTGTATTTTATTAGACAGTATGCTTATTAGACATTTCAGCAAATAAGAAGTAACTGAAAAGTGAATGGACATTGCAGTTAAATGAAGCTTTTATTAATTCTTATTGCATACATGATTTAGCAGAGTACTGAGGTTATGAAACACTTCTTACCTTGGATAAAAATTCTGAACCTAGAAAAATATTTTGAAAATTTTATCTAATGACTCTACAAGTTTTCAAATTATTTCTGATCATTTTTACTTACTGAGAGGCAATTAATTGATCAAAAAACCAATATAGCAATCAGTATCAAACAATACTACCACAAGACAATAAAAATGACACAAAAGACTACTTAATT